ATGATATTGATAAAAAGGATTGGGTGATCGACACGGGTGCTAGTAAACACATGTGTAATGATAAAAGTTTAATGAAGAATGTGGTGACTCTTGAGCATCCAGTTACAATATATTTACCTGATGGAAGTGTCAAGCAGGTTTCAGTGATGGGAGAAGTCAGATTATCACACAATATAATTTTGCATGGTGTGTTGTTAGTCCCAAGCTTCAAGTACAATCTCATGTCAGTTGCACAGGTCTGCAGTTCTTGTGGTTTGAAATGTATGTTCACAGCAAATCAGTGTATGTTTGAGAATGTAGAAACAGGACATGTAGTTGGATATGGGAAGCTGCATGGAAAATTGTATGTTCTTGAGAAACAACCCACAACACATTTCAGTCTAAGTTGTCCCAGCTCACTTGAGGAGTGGCACAGAACCTTGGGTCATGCCTCTATTGGCGTCCTACAACATATGAGTTTCCTTAAAGACCATTGCAATGGATCAGATGCACATAAATTGAAAAGCTGCGAGGTATGTTTTAAATCCAAACAGCATAGGCTACCCTTTCCTTCAAGCAAAATTCAATCATCAGATATCTTTGAAATGTTACATATGGATATATGGGGTCCATGCCGTGAGGAGACTATGACCAACACACCGTACTTCCTAACAGTTGTTGATGACTATAGCCGAGGTGTATGGGTATTTCTCATGAAAACCAAAGGAGAAACAGTGGGACATATAGAGAAATTTTTAGCAATGATAAGTACACAGTTTGGAAAGACAGTCAAGAGGTTGAGAAGTGATAATGGTCAGGAATTTGTGGGACTGGAATGTCAAAAATTATTGCATAAGTTTGGAATATTGCATCAGAGAAGCTGTGTTCACACCCCTCAACAAAATGGGGTAGTTGAACGAAAACACAAGCAAATCTTGGAGGTGGCAAGGGGGCTGCTTTTTCAATCAGGGTTGCCTTTGAATTTCTGGTGTTATGCAGTGATGACAGCTGCACACATAATAAATAGGCTTCCTAGCTCAGCACTAAACTGGAATACACCTTTTGAAAGGATTTATGAGAAATCAGCAGATTATAGCATGATGAAGCCTTTTGGTTGTTTGGTATATGCTGTGAATACTTCACCTATGAAGAGTAAACTTGATCCAAGATCACATAAATGTGTGCTCATTGGCTATGTTGGGGGTTATAAGGGTTATCATTTGTATGATTTGGAAGAACACAAGAGCTTTGTGTCAAGAGATGTGGTGTTCTTCACATCTACATTTCCTTTCAAACAAACTCAGCCTGTTGATGAATCATCTGTCATACCTCTGCCCCAATGCATTGATGATATCTCCACACCTATCACAGTTACACCTAATTCAGATCAATCACAGCTATCTCCTATAGATCCCATTGATGAGCAGAGAAACACAAGGGTCAGGTCACAGCCAGCATGGATGAGGGATTATGTTTGCACCACTCATGCAGATACACCAAAGAAATTGCAGGATCAGTTCTATGCAAATATCATTCAAGAACAAGAACCTCTGTCATATGAGGCAGCACAGGCTAATGAAAAATGGGTGGATGCTATGGCTACTGAATTGACAGCCCTAGAAACAAATCACACTTGGGAAATGTGTTATCTACCAGAGGGTAAGAAGGCCATTGGCTCTAAATGGGTTTACAAGATCAAAAGGAAGGCTAATGGAGAGGTCGAAAGGTATAAAGCTCGATTGGTGGCAAAGGGATACAATCAAGTTCAAGGTGTTGATTTTTTTGATGTGTTTTCTCCAGTGGCAAAATTGGTCACAGTGAGAATGTTCATAAGTATGGCTGCAATGAAAGGATGGGATCTATGGCAACTTGATGTTAACAATGCCTTTTTACATGGGCATCTTCGTGAAGAGGTCTTCATGAAGCCACCTCAAGGTTATTCAGGTTACAAAAAGGGTCAAGTTTGCAGATTAACAAGGAGTTTGTATGGGCTAAAGCAAGCCTCTAGAGAGTGGAATTCAGAACTCTCTAAGAAGCTTCTTGATTTTGGACTGCTTCAATCTACTGAAGATCCTTGTTTATTCACCCAACAGACAGGAGATGATTTTTTAGCAATGTTGGTTTATGTAGATGATGTGCTTCTCACAGGTTCATCTCCAACCTTATTAATTTCTCTGAAAACTTTCCTTCACCAAGAGTTCACAATCAAGGATTTAGGGATTGCCAAGTACTTTCTGGGAATTGAAATTACAAATGCTGCCACTGGTATAGGCCTATGTCAACAGAAGTACATTCTTGACTTGGTCACAGATTCACATCTTGAAGATTGCAAAGCACCTCAAACTCCACTGCCACATGGCATCAAACTGACTAGCTTTGATGGGAATCCTATGGAGGAGCCTGAGCAATATAGAAGACTGGTGGGTCGATTATTGTACCTCAATCTTACTCGGCCTGATATTAGCTATGCAGTGCAGCAGCTAAGTCAATTTGTGACAAATCCTTTCACTAATCACATGAATGCTGCCCTTCATGTCCTGAAGTATCTCAAAGGGACATCTGCACTTGGGCTTTTCTATCACAGGTCCTCTGATTTCTCTCTTAAGTCCTATTGTGATGCTGATTGGGCAGCCTGTAAAGATACTAGACGTTCCATCACGGGCTATGCTATTTTCTTGGGTCCTAATCTCATTTCTTGGAAGAGTAAGAAGCAAACTACCGTTTCTCGTTCTTCGGCTGAGGCCGAGTACAGAGCTATGGCTGCCACGGTATGTGAAATGCAATGGATTTATGCATTGGCGAGTGCCGTGCTCTTGCACATTTCTTTGCCGCTTCCTTTGTGGTGTGATAACCGGGCTGCTATGCACATCACCGAGAACCCGGTGTTTCACGAGCGAACCAAGCATTTAGAAATCGACTGTCATGTGGTCCGCAACAAGTTCAAGGAGGGATTCATTGAGCCGCGTTATGTTCCCACAGGACTGCAGCTAGCTGATTTACTCACCAAGATTCTTCCTGCTGGCCATTTTGTCTCTTTGATTTCCAAGTTGGGTATGGTCATTGTTGGCCATACTCCAACTTGAAGGGGGGGTGAAGATATATGCTAAGTTTGGTTCTTTCTAAAATCAATTTTCCTTTTTTCTCATGTACCTTGAACGACGTCGCTTTATGTGTTGAAGAGTTTTAAGTGTTACGACGTCGTTCTCCTTATCTTTTGAATTTGGTTCACGCGAGCTTTATATATAAAAGCCGCGTCTTTGTACGTTCCGGATTATGAAATGAAAAATAAAATTTGGGACTGAGATATTTTTTGTTCTCTCGATCAATTCATTTTCTTCAGAGATGCCGAGGTTGATGACCATTTTCATCGTTTGGACGATCGACTGGATACGATGGACGCTCGAGTGGCAGATTTGTCTAGCGGAATTGAAGAAATTCGAGTTACGTTAACTACCATGATATGGGATCAGCAAGAGCACCGTGATTTCACCGGTGGTCGTGGCGGTCGCGGCGGGTTCAGAGGCGGCCGTGGTGGATGCGGGTTTGGCGGGGTGCCCCGACAACCGTTTCCACAACCTCCGTTCCGTGACGCCGATAGCGATTCTACTTGGTCGGACGACAATCCATTTGTCGAAGGTGTTGATCGCGACCGGGCTGAGGGTGTTCATAACCGGCGGCAACCAGAGCAGGTGTTTAGTGACCGTGCAATTGATGACTACCGACGGGCTCCGCCAGGATTTCAGGCCCATGAAAATCCTGTTTATCGGAGAGCGGGTCCCAGAAGCGACCCTCTAGGTCGTGATTTTTAGCGATGTGATGACTGCGTTTTCTGGCGAGGAGCTGCTGCCGATTTCGGCGATCATGGTGGGCAGCGAGTTGGCCGACGTGAAGTAGATAATTTCGCTGAAGACCAGATTGATGACGATTTGAACGGGGGGAGGAGATTTCGGTACAGGTCGGCAATTTGGGAATTTTGGTGCAGCGCGTGAATTTGGGCGTGACATTGGGGAGGATATCAGTAATATTGATGTTGGTAGAGGAAAGTTTATTTTCCCTGATTATGGACCAGCGACTTTTTTTGGTGGGCCTGGGCATGAGGCCCATTTTCGCAGGCAAGGGGCTGCCGGGGACTCTACTTGTCATTGGGAATCTTCTTTTCGGGTAGAAATTCCAGACTTTTCCGGGGGATGGATGCGAATGAATTTATTGATTGGTTGATATCTATTGAAGCTGCTCTTGATTTTAAGTGTGTACCTGATGATCGGCAAGTCCCGCTTGTTGTTACTCGACTTTGGGGACGTACGGCAGCTTGATGGTTACAATTACAAGGTGTGAGGCATCGACAGGGCAAACCCAAAATCCATTCGTGGTTGAAATTCCGTAAGTATCTTGAACTTGAGTTTTTTCCCTTTAATTATGTTCGTACACTTTATCAGAAATTGCAAAACCTTCGCCAAGGATCACGTAGTGTTGATGAGTATACCGAAGAATTTTATAAACTCTTGGCTCGGGTTGATATTCGGGAGACTCCGGAATAATTGATTTCTCAATATATTGGTGGGTTACGTGTTTCTGTTCAGGATGCACTTCGAAAATATCTTGGACAGTGGAATTGACCACGGGTTCACGGCACCCCGTTTTCTCTTTTCTTTACCAGAGGTTGCCTCCTCGATGGCGGCAATGTCAACCTTGGGACTCGCAGAACAAACCTAACACAATTCCAAAGAGAAAAACTTCAATCATTTCCATTTTTTTTTTGAAAAGGAGAAAAAAAGAGGTAATATCTATACCTAACATAGTAATTAAAATTCACGTGAATCTCAAAGACCAAAAATTGTCAGTTGGCCCGGTAAGTAACTATACAATAACAAGAAGGATACGATAAATTCGATTCGTTCAAAAATTATAAATTTCATATATAAATATATATTATATAAATATATATTTCGATTGAATTGTATTTTTACAACATTTTTACAACAACTGTCCGAAGAAATGATGCATCGAAATAATGAGTCACCATGGATACGTCTGAGATCGCCAAGTGTTCGGGAGATATCAATCATATGCGCCTAGCTACCGTGTTAAAGAGTTGTAACTTGAGTTATGAGTACGAATGGTTTCTTTTTCCTTTGCAGGAAGAAAAAAGGGCAGAAATTCGCCCTTTAGAAGGGCAGAATCGAAGTATAGTGTTGAGCAAGTAGGCATCGGCTAACTCTGTGCCAGCAGCCGCGGTAAGACAGAGGATGCAAGCGTTATCCGGAATGATTGGGCGTAAAGCGAGGCTAGAAAAGGCGAGGCAAGGTTTAAAGATCTCGACCAAACAAACGAAGCGAAGCGCAGTGAAGTAAAGTGGGTTCTTCTATCGTTGTTAAATGAGATTGTCATGAGAGCTTTTCAAAACAAAAGCAAGGGATCGAGACATCCCATTCCAAACAAAGAAAGCTGAACCGCTTACTGATTTGCTTACCTTATTATTAGAGAAAGGGGATGAGTCTAGACGCCCGGACACTGATCCTCTTCCCTTCGCCTTTTTCTTAGAGTGGATTGAGGAAGAAGTGGAACTCCGATGAGAACGTATTGAATATGTTTACTCCGGCTTCTGTTTCTAGGCGCATCAGAGGGCGTTATTAGTGGAACAGCAGCAGGCCCGTCGGCTAACTTCGTCCTTTTTGCCGTCTCGACAGACTTCGACTCATCCTACAGCTTTGGCACCATCTACATCTGTCCGACCAACTGGTGGTTCTGCTCCGCCTGGTCCTACGATTGGGGGTCGGGGTGGTGGAACTACTCCTGGTGGGAATACTCGCCAGATAGGTGCCCCAAGGTGTTATTCTTGTGGTGAACAGGGACATCAACAGGCCCAATGTCTAAAATCGAGGAATACACGAGCTCTTTTAATCGAAGAATCGGAGGATGTTGAGTACACTGGTACGCCTATATTTGATGAGGAACCCGAGATTGTAGAGGAGCACGTTACAGGAGATGTGGGGCATGCCTTGGTCCTTCGTTGTTCGCTTTTATCTCCGCATATTGACAGTCCGAGTGTGACTCAGCGTCATCACCTATTTGAGTCTACTTGTACCATCGGCAGTCGGATATGCCGTTTTATGATTGACTCGAGTGCTTGCGAGAATGTAGTGGCTTCGGATGCGGTAGCGAAGTTGCAGTTGAAAACGGTACCTCATCCTCAGCCGTACACTTTAGCATGGATACAGAAGGGGACCTCTGTTACAGTGGATCGTCGAGTGTTGGTGGCCTTTTCAGTCGGGTTGACGTATAAAGAGAAGATTTGGTGTGATATTGTGCCTATGAATGCTTGTCATTTACTGTTGGGCCGACCGTGGCAGTTTGATCGTGCCGTTGTTCATGACGGGCATCTCAACACGTATGGTTTTCTTTTTCGTGGTGTTCGGATTGTTTTACACCCATCCGTATCCCGTCCATTAGTGGCACCACCTGCTATGGGTCCTTCACATTCTTCTTCATCCGTATTGTTTCTTTCCCGGTCTGCCTTTGTTAGTGAGATGATTTATGCTCCTATGGTTTTTCTTGTTGTTGGCTTTGACTCGGTTCCAGATGGTTCACCTTCTGCTTTGATTCAGCCTTTACTTCAGGAGTTTGCTGATGTTTTCCCCACAGACTTACCTAGTGGTTTACCGCTTTTACGAGATACTCAGCACCATAATGATTTGGTGCTGGGCGCTTCTTTACCCAACCGCCCTCATTATCGGATGAGTCCAGTAGAGCACGAGAAGCTTCGTCGTCAGGTTGAGGATTTGTTACGTAAAGGGTCTATTCGCAAGAGTCTCAGTCCATGTGTAGTGCCGACTTTTCTCATTCCGAAGAAGGATAAGTCGTGGCAGATGTGTGTCGACAGTCGTGCGATAAATAAGATTACGGTATGTTATCGTTTTCCTATTCCACGATTGGATGATTTGTTAGATCAATTACATGGTGCGACTGTGTTTTCCAAGTTAGATCTTCGGAGTGGTTACCACCAGATTCGAATTCGGCCGGGTGATGAATGAAAGACGGCTTTTAAGATTCGAGAGGGTTTGTATGAGTGGATGGTTATGCCCTTTGTTTTGTCTAATGCTCTGAGTACTTTTATGCGGGTGATGAATCAGACTCTATGTGACCTTATTGGGAAGTGTGTCGTCGTTTATTTCGACGACATACTAGTCTATAGGCGTTCAGTTGAGGAGCATTAGCATCATGTCCGTGAGTACTTCTGCTTTTGCGAGCTGAGTCTTTTTATGCCTCTTCGGGCAAGTGCTCTTTTCTTGTGGATTCTGTGTTGTTTTTGGGGTTTGTTATTTCTTCGGATGGCGTTCGTGTTGATGAGAGTAAGGTTGCTGCTATTCGGGATTGGCCAACTCTTACGACATTCACAGAGGCTCGTAGTTTTCATGGACTTGCTTCCTTTTACCGGCGTTTTATTGCTCATTTCAGTTCTATTACCGCCCCTATCACTGATTGTCTTACATGAAAATCTTTTGTCTAGACACCTCAGGCTGCTGAAGCTTTTGATCTTATTAAACTGAAGCTTACTTCGGCTCCAGTTTTGGTTCTTCCTGATTTTTCTCAGCCATTTGAGCTTTCATGTGATGCATCCAAGGTGGGGATTGGGGCTGTTCTTAGCCAGGAGGGAAGACCTGTAGCTTTCTTTAGTGAGAAGTTGTCAGGTCCACGAGCTCGTTACAGCACCTATGATGTCGAATTTTATGCTGTTGTGCGTGCCGTTCGATATTGGAGGCATTATTTATTTCACTGGGAGTTTGTGCTTTTTACTGATCATGAGGAGCTTCGACACATCTCTTCTCAGGACAACATTTCAGCCCGACATGCCTCTTGGACATCCTTTTTACAGCAGTTTACCTTTGTTCTCAAACATCGATCTGGGTTTCCAATCGGGTTGTCGATGCTTTGAGCCGCCGTTCTCTTCTTCTGTCTGATATGCGTATTCAGGTCATCGGATTTGATTTGTTACACAACTTGTATACTTCTGATGTTTTATTTGGTCCGATTTTACTTCGTTTGGCTTCCGGTCCGGTTGATAATTTTGTACTTCGCGAGGGTTTCCTTTTCAAGGGCCTTCACCTTTGTGTTCCGGATTGCAGTCTTCGGGTGAAGTTGATTGAGGACCTTCATGGAGCCGGCCATGTAGGTCGTGATCGTTCCGTGGAGCTTGTTCAGCGCTGTTTCTTTTGGCCCACTGTGCGTTGGGATGTTTCTCGTTTTGTAGAGCGCTGTCGTGTGTGTCAGGTGTCGAAGGGTGCTGCTACTAATGCTGGTTTATATCGACCGCTTCGATTCCTTCTCAGCCGTGGTCTTCTATTAGCATGGATTTTGTTCTTAGATTACCCCGTATACAACGAGGTAATGATTCTATTTTTGTGGTTGTGGATCGTTTTTCTAAGATGGCCCATTTTATTCTTTGCAAACGTACGACTGATGTTGTACGTGTGGCCCAATTGTTTTTTAGAGAGGTCTAATATTTGCATGGATTACCTACGTCTATTGTTTCTGATCGTGATACACGCTTTCTTAGTTTCTTTTGGCGTAGTTTGTGGCGGCAGACAAACACTCGACTTGATTTTAGTAGTGCCTACCATCCACAAACTGATGGTCAGACTGAGGTTGTTAATCGTTCATTGGGTAATTTGCTTCGTTGTTTGGTTTGTGATAATTTGCGTTCTTGGGATTTGCTTAGTCAAGCTGAGTTTGCACATAATTCTGTTGTTAGTCGTGCTACTCGTTACTGTTCGTTTCAGATTGTGTATGGTTTTGTTCCCCGTGGACCGACTGATTTAATATCTCTTCCTTCTTTCGGTTTTGCTGATCGACGGGCTACGGATGTGATGTCTGATTTCAGACGCATACATGATGAGGTTCGTGCCAATTTAGAGACTACTACTGCTGCTTATAACCAGAGGGAGGATATTTGTCGTCGACACGTGGAGTTTGATGTGGGGGATTTCGTGTGGGTTGTCTTGACGAAGGACCGCTTTCCTGCACAAGAGTATAATAAGTTGTCGGCTCGGAAGATTGGTCGTGTTGAGATCATTGAGAAAATTAATCCGAACGCCTATCGCCTTCGTTTACCATCTCATGTGCGTACTTCGGATGTCTTTAATGTTAAGCACTTGGTGCCTTTTTATGGAGACAATTCTACCGACGAGAGTGGTACGGATTCGAGGGCGAATCCTCTCCAACCGGGGGAGAATGATGCCGACGAGAGTGGGTTGCTATTTCTCGATACGTATGATCGACTCCGACCTTTAGTATGATTATTATTATTATTATATTTTATTATTATTTAGTTTATGTTTATTTATGTTATGTTTGGACTTTTATTATGTTGTAGGAATTATTGTGTGTGGGCTTTTAATTAATAGTGGATAGAATTTTATGTATTATTTAAAACAGTTGTGTATCTGGGTGGGGGGGGCAGTTAACATTCATCAGATTGAATACAGAAAAAAAAGAACTGTTCTTCGTTCTTCCTTGTTCTACTTTTCCCATCTCATGCTATCAGCTACATAACATACAATTATGAATGTAACTACAAAGGTTTTTCCTTCAGGGAAAGCGATAAATAAATCTTGAAGATCGAGCCCGGAAGTCTAATTGTAATCCTGAAAATTAGGCTATGTTGGTCGGTGTTGTACTCTTTTTTCCCTTAGCTAAGTTTTTTCTCATTGGGTTTTATTTAGTAAGGTTTTTAACGAGGCAGCAAGTGTAACACATAAATTTGCATATGTCATGTACTCTTTTCCTGGACTGCTTTTTCCTACAGGGTTTTGTAGCGAGGTTTTAACGAGGCATAGACACGATGAGAAATGTCCAAGAGAAGTGTTGTAAATATTAATTTGTGGACATTACCTAGATGTAGGCTTTGTAGGTATGAGCCAAGAGCCCATTAGGTCTTTAGTTATGTACGTTGTATTCCCTTATAAATAAGGCTCAAGTGAATGAATAAGATGATGGTTTTTTACGGCGTATTTCTTCTCTCTTATTCTCTTCTACTGCTTTCTCTCTTTGTCTATCTTATACATCGATCTTACATATTGACAATCTATATTACAACAGTTTGAATCGATTACAATGAAAGAAAAGAATAGATTGCATATTGCAGTAATATTTGCGTGACCCAAAAAAAAGAAACAAATTAATAATAATAATAATACTAATAATAATAAAATAAAATAAAATAAAAAACTGCTTTGGGTACGTGTAAATTGAAAAAGAAAAAATATGTGGTTAACTATTTCAAACAGCAGGACAAATCAGAAGCAAGGAGCCATACCATGACGAAAACAAAAGTACAAAACATAAATGACCAAATTATAGTTTTCCCCCAAAAGAAAAGAAACAAAATCCTCAAATGCATATCAGTAACCAAAACCCAAGTCCTAAAATATCCCGACTATACAGTTGACAACGTGAAAAAGTTGCCTCTCGACTTACAGTAATGTGAATTGTACACATCTATAACAATAATAATACATCCTTTAGTCTGAACAAGAAATAAGGAACTCATGCCCTGATCAACAACTCATAAAGATTACTATTATTATCACCCGATACACGTTTCAACATCTCAAAACTCTTTCGGCTGCCCAGAAAATCGATCCTCTTAAACTCTAAATCACCACTCTTTGCTGCCTCTTTGCTGGAGTAAGCGAATCTCAGCCGATCAGCATGCCTCGAGTCCGTGTGGATCGCCATTTCTATTTCTTCGGATGACATATTCTCCTGCTTCATTATAATTAATAAAGCACTATATAATGTAAGATATTATTGCATCACGGCTTTCTCGACTGAAAAATCTAGACAGATAAAACCTTAAAATGAACCAAACCTCAGGGCATTTGCAATTTTGCGAGTTAATTGGTGTTTTTCTATCATATGGGGTAATTTTCGTGATTATATACTTCATTTTGGCATAATAATTGGTATACGCGACAAGAAAAAAAGGGTTGCAGCATGACAAATTGACAAGGCAGGGAGAATAAAACGTGCCTGATAAAATGCATAGATGTAATCCAAAACTTGCAAGCACGTAAACCCATTATTGCTAAAGAATGTCCTCGAACAAGGGCCCATTTCCGAAAATCGGTCAACCGGGAACATGATGGTGAGAAAATGGCCTTTGAATATTAACTCAGACTTCTCACTGCAATTACATGCATATGAAATTTTGCATTTATTAGTCTCAACAAGCTTTGTAAATAAATTATCTTGAATAATCTCTCTCCTTTATCCTTTATTTTTAGTTTTTGTTTCCTTTATAAAAATAATCCTAAACGCAGAATAGCTAACCTTTCTGTAAGTGGCCGAGATAAGTTCACGAATGAAGTCTCGGATTCCTTTGAATCAAGGAAAACTGATGTATGGTCTTCAGTGGCATTTTCTACACTTGAAGACTCGGTATAAATAGAAGCAGTCGAGGTTGGCTCAGAAATCGACCAGCAAATGGAGTCCAAAAGGGTGCCAGGGGTTATGGGACGTATTGGAGTTTGACACGTCTGCAAATCATAATGCAAAAGAAATCTAATATGTGACTCAATTTTGTTATTCAGGGAGAAAAAACCAGAATAAGGTATATATGAAAAAAAGTTAACCTGCATTCGGCGATTTCTTCGCTTTCTGACTCCATCTTTAGCTAGGTTGACCCTCGTTTTCCTTTCTGCATGACTAACTTCTATTACGGGACTAGGTACATCTTTAGAACTAATTACCCTGTCAATTTCCTAAAATGCCCAAAACAAAGAATTCCACGATGAAGAAATTGAATAATAGAAGGATGTCTAAAAAGAACGTAAAAGGAACCTTGTGCAGGGTACACCATAGGCTACTTACAAAAAATTTGCAACGCGTTTTTAGTGTAACAAGCTGCTTAATAAATTCATGTTCATCGGTCGAATGTTAATGTACCAACTATTAAGTATTCAGAAAGAGAGGAGAATGAACAATCTCTAAAGACAGGGAAAAAGAGACATACCTCTTTGGAAACACCATGCTGGAGAGTATCAAGCATTGCTCCAGTATACCGAGCTAAATCAGCTGATAAGTGGACGAGTCTTTGCAGAGATTTTTCTTTAGCCGACTTCAGAACCCAATATGGCTGAGGAGAAAAAAACATCATCAAAAGAATATAGAAAAAGAAGAAAAATAATACTACACACACAAGCACACATGCAATTAGCATCAGGTCAGTTATCATTAGGGGGGTTGATGATAATAATAATCCCAACTGAAACATTTAACAATCATCTGCCTTAAGCAGAATATATTAAGAATGATGTTTCAGCAGTATGAGGAAAAGCATGAAACGCTTTAAAACAAATAAGCAACAAGAAATTGCAATGACCACTTACTGTGACAAGATTACTAGAATGCCCCAGATACTTTTGCACAGGAGGTCCTTCGCATACAACGTGAGTAGCATTGCAACCAACAAACCATTGCTCGACTAAGATAGCACCTTCAGCAGATATAGCCTCAGCAACCTAATAGCAAATATATATGACGTAAAGGAGAAAA